ATTAAGTACATGTACATGTTAATACCATTTAAACAGAACATGAACATCTGCACAGGGAATTAAAAGTCTTCTTCTTCACATGAACCATTTTTTTTTTTTGCTCCTGATTTAATCGTGATTAACAGTTACTGGTGTGTCATTCAAAATATTTTTATCACGTGTGTGAATATATGTGTGCTTATGTATGGTGTAGTTAGTGGCTTTATTATACATTATTTACAAAAAAGAGATCACATGCTACAGGTAGTTAGTAATCTTATTTTGTTCAATTAATGCATCTTGAAGATATTCCCATATTAGGCAGTGATTTGTGAAGTCAACATCAACTCACCATTGAGGCTTGACTACCTCTGGTCATGACTTCCCTTATTTTCCTCTGCAGTATCATCTGATGTTGCCATTTTGCATTCTTTCTAAAACCTTTCACTTTGGGGAGCACTCTGCTATGTCCTGAGCTGCTTGACTCAGCGATGCCCTTCTACCATGATGTTCTGCTCCTCTTGGGTCCAGAGCTATGGAGTCAGCCAATCATATACCGAACCTATGAAATTGTGAGCCAAAATAAACTTTTCCTTCTCTCAATTGTTCTTGTCAGATTTTTTGGTCACATTGATATGAAACTGACTAAAACATCATGCCCTTTCAAAATCCATGTGTTGAAACATTAACCTCCATTGTGAGAATCTTTAGCAATCTTTAGGAGATATTTAAGGTTTAGTAAGATCGTGAGGTGGGACTCTAATCTAACCAGTTGTGCTCTCTCTCTCTCTCTCTCTCTCTCTCTCTCTCTCTCTCTCTCTCTCTCTCTCTCTCTCACACACACACACACACACATACACACACACACACACATACACACACACACACACAAACGAAACTTCTATAAGAATATGGCCATATACAAACCAGTTAGACAGCCCTCTCTGTGAAATTGCCTGTAACTTTGGGTAACTTTGGCAACTTAACCTTGTACTTTCTGTTAGTTTAGGTACCAAGTCTGTGGTATTTTTCTATAAAAGCCCTAGCAAACTAAGATATCAGGTCATAGTAAAAGGTCTGAAGAAAGAAAGTAGGGCACAAGGTAGAGTAGATAAGGACAGGATTATATTGGTGGCATCTACAGTGAGGTTGGAATCCTAGGGCAAGAGATCCAAAAGCATTATGATGAAGTAAAAATTGCTTCAGGAATTAAAGTTTACAAATGCTTGTTGGCAGGAGAATATTCCTTTATATCTGTGGTCATGGACATCTTACCGGTGCTGAAGTGAATCTTTCTGCAGCAGGGGTATTCATATCTTTTCATCACATACCTGAACCAGGGGAGGAAGCTATGTCTAGCAGTTCCAGAGGAAAAACTAGGTGCTTAAGTAGCCTAAGCAAGTCGAAATCCTAGTGTTTATCTTAATGCATATGCAATTTGCATTCTCTTTAATATATCTATACTTATTTTATATGAAATAACATTTAAATTTACTCATCATAGAATAAAGATGGTGTCTCTGAAAGAAGGAAAATATGCGGTGTTTATCTTTTACTTTATATATGGCCCTCCTTTGCCCCTACTCATCTGCAGTACAATGTTACCTACCCCCTGGAGGTGTGTATCCTGGCTCAAGAAATCCTATGAAGGACATGCAACAGGCTCAGAGGGAAAGATGAAGGCCTTTCCCTTGCACAGAAAGGCATTTTGCTGGGATCTTACAAAACTAAAATAGATCACACTACCTTTCTAGATACTGGCCAGAGACAATTCTTCAAAATTTTCCATTCTTCTGACTTTCCTCTTACTGCAACAATCACAAAGATAGATCTGGAATTTCAATAACAGTCTCCTGAGACCAAACACTGCTTGGGAGAGATGGAATGAAGAGAATTAAAAATAAACAAACCAGAAATTATCTGGGTCCTGAAGCTGTTGCTACTTGCCTTGATCAGTTTCCTAGCACAGAAAGGCAGAGAGCTCTTTCTGTCATTTGTATAAGAGCCAGAAAATTACTCAGTTTCAACTGGACTAATGCCATTCATGAGATTTTGAAAATTCCCCTATACAGTTGCTTTTCAGTATGGATGTGCGAATGTATATGCACAGAATTCAATGTGATCAGAGGAACTGGAATGATTCATGCAAGCAATGCAATGCACACCCTTTGTCATTGCATAACCTTCACACAGGCTGTTAATCCCGGAAATGCAATGCTGCATATATTTCTTGCAGAAAATTATTCACAGTAGTGTAGAACTTTCTTATCTATTTTAGGCCCATTTAGCTTACATAAACAGTGTTTGGTGCTTTAAAAAACTAAAAATGATGATCACTTAGCACAGTTCATTTTTTACCTGTTACGTTAAAAAATAGGCAACGTCTAAGTTCTGTGGGAAAAGTGTATTATACTGTTGCAATGGTGCAAAATTGTGAGAATTCACTGCTTAACCTCATGTGTGAGTCATTCTGGAGGTCAAAACTACATAGGTTATAGAGGATTCTCATTCATGCAAGAAGTCTTTCTCTGATTGGGGTGTTTAAGTTTCAAGGCTGCATGGGGAGGAGCAGTAATTTCTGGTTTGCCGTGAAGATCTAGACACAGCATCCATCTGTCCATCCATCCAACCTTCTATCCATGCTTCCAAACTTCCATGCTTCCATTAAGTTATTCTTTTAATCTAATTAGTTAATGAAAGCCTGAAAGAATTGCTCATTCTCTCATGTAATCTAAACAACTTAAAAAACTCACAAGCACAAAGACTTGTTAGGTGTTTGAATTCCTACTGAAGCAAAAATAAATTTTGTTTTTGAAATCACTGAAAACTGACAGGATCAAATGCCTGAAATGAAAGAATAATAGTGTCTTAAACATGTTTGCAATGAAATGTAAAAACAAATAAAACAAAACCTCGCTATTACAAAATTGTGTTTTAAAGAGAATTTTTTATAAGTGGTTATGCATGTATCATATATTTAATACTTAAACAGTGGTTGCAGACCAGATTTCTTTGAAACACTGGTGTTTAAGAAGCTGGACTTAAATCATCTATTTTTAAAACCATGTTTTCTGATAATGTGAATTATTTGTTACCAATACCCAGAAATACGAAATTGATTAGTTTAAATTCATGAATTGTTAGAAATTAATAAATACTCTTAGAAATTAATAAATACTATTGGAAACTTTGGTGGCAAAATAATTTGTCTTTTAAATCTGGTAATAAAATTGAATGGGACTTGTATTTCATTTCTATGTATTTTTTATTTCATTTTTCTTTTTAAAGTATTTTATTGGTGAATTATGATTATACATAATATTACGCTATCCTGTGGTGCATTTACATTTACATCTCTACATAGCATAATTTGGTCTACTTCATTCTGCCATGGCTCTCCTTTCTCTGCTCCTTACCCCTAATCCTTACCCTTTGCTTTACTGGTCTCTCTTCTATTTTCATGAGATATCTAGTTGTTAATCAACAGTAAATGAATAAAGAAAATGTGGTACATATATAATTTTTCTAATAATTAATTTAGGTTGGATATAAAAATAAAGCAATGATGTCATTCACATGTTAGTTTGAAAAGCACTGTTTTATAGTTCTCTTGATGAATCTAGCGTTTAAAAAGCAATGATCCCATCTCCGTGGCACAAGTTCATACTCCCTCAATATTAGCTTATTTCTGTGGCAGGTAAAAAGTAAAGATACTTCCATTAATACCGTCTCAGCATTTACCATAAAAACATCTCATTCATTTACTTTCATGAAGACTATTTAATGATTTCATATAAAGAGAAATTGTTTTTTAAAAATACTCTTCTTACAAAGTATATTTGACCTTGAATTGACATTGCATCACCATCTGTATGTCATGTGATGATAAGTTGTAATAAAAAGTGTCTCCCATCCTTCCTGAAGGGTAGTGATGTCTTTGCTGATGCTCATGACACACTGTCTGTGGTGGAGCCAGGGAGGGGGCTGCCTGGCTTGACCTGCAGAAGAATCTGCCAAGGGCAGCCTGCCTTTCTGGGTTTAGCACCTCCAGAAGCGACTTCATTGATGTGCACAAAGGTGCCAGAAGCCTTCCCGCCTTTGTCACGTTTGGGTTGCAGAGAAACCAGCTCCTCTAGGATTCTGAACCAGAGCTCTCTGCTGTCATAATGCAAGCAGCATCTCCTCAAAGTCCTTATTAAAGTCACACAAGAGTGCCTCACAAATAAGGATCTTGAAATAATGACCACGCTTCCAGCTGAATTGGGGGCATTTCAGCCAGAGAAGTCAGGATTTTTCCTAACAATTATCAGTGAGTGTCATCCCTTAAGGAAGGCGTTTGAAGACCCTGCTGAGTGTGCCTGAGCTGCTGTTTGAAGTCCTAGGTAATTCCATCCCATGCCCATCTTGTCTTCCCCTTATCCTGTAGAGACCTTCTAAAGGTAAAACTTTTTGAAATTCATGAGGATCCCCACTTTGATCAGCTTAATGGGGTGTGGAACCATATTAAAGACAAGATAGCTACAGAGGCAGCAAGTAGGGAATGAAACCAACTGCACTGTTGTCCATCAGAGTGAGGAAATTACTGCTCTTCTTGCTAATGCAGACTTATCTGTCTCCCCACCCCTCCAAATTCCTAGGTTGAAGCCCTGATACCTCATATTATTGAATTATTTAGGAATGGGAGATAATTACCTCCTTAAAGGTAATCCAGGTAATTAAGTTAAAATGAGGGCCTCAGGATGGACACTAATCCAATCTCACTGGTGCCATTATAAAAAGAGAACATTACTTAACTGTAGAGATCCTTGCATTGTTTTTGAGTATACCAAAACATCTGGGTGCTGGGGTTGTGGCTCAGCGGTAGAGCACTCACCTAGCACGTGCAGGGTGCTGGGTTCGATCCTCTGCACCACATAAAAATAAAATAAAGGTATTGTGTCCAACTATAACTAAAACAAAAATTTTAAAAAAAATCTGTCTATACATCTTAAATATAGCAAGTAAAATTATTTTTTTTTAAGATGGTATTGGGACACGTGGGAAGACACCAAAGATGTGTGTGCAGAGAGGAAAGATCATGTGTGAACACAGCAAGCAGCAACCACCTGCAAGCCCAGGAGAAAGGCCTCGGAAGCTAACCGGTGGACACTTGGAAGTGGATTCATTCTCCAGAACGGTGAGAAATAAAATTCTGTGGTTTAAACCACCACTATTTGGTTAGGGCGTCACTAGCAGATGACTACACCTGTATATACTGATGGCCCAAGAAAGTGTCTTCTACTTTTATGTTGTCTGCTCTGAGGAATGAACAAAATACAAACAGGTGGGAGTTAAGATGTGCACATATGGGCTTGTAGGCAAGGTGACAGTTCATTCCACAGGGCTGCCCTTGGGCTTCACTCAAGCTGCCCTTGGTGAAGGACCAGAAAAGCAAAGAGAAACAGTCTGTGGGGAGTTTTCCTTGTTGGTGTCAGTGAACAGAGTAGGGCGTGAACCATTGGGGATGGAATACAGTTTATATCAGAAGCTGTGATAAGAATGGAAAGATGATTTACAGTGACCTCAAAGTAAAGAGCCTCTTACTCTGTGGTGAAAACCTCTCCCTGTTTCCATATCTTGGTGGATATTTTTTCACATAAATTGTTGGATAATCAAAATGCATCACAGTTATTATAACTTTAGCAAATGTTAATTTATGTAAATTTCAGAGGCCATTTTTTTATATTCACATATTTATTCTTTGAATAAATATTTATTTAGTACCTATAATGTGCAGAGCATTACAATGAATTCCTGGAAGCATGGTTCATGTCATTATTAAATTAATATTCTGAAGTGTTTGAGAGGGGCACAGGACTTGGAAAAATTGGTAACACATTGAATAAATACAATTATAATAGACTCTTTAGAGAGAATTAGAGGATGAAAGGCATCTTACAGAAAGTCTAGATGATATGAATTAAAAGCCCTGTGAAGTGCTAAGGGAAGATAGTCCTAACAAGAGAGGACATAAAGGAAACAAGATTTATCTGCATGTGTTGGTGGAACAATAGAGAGAGCAAAGAGAGAAAATAGAATGGTGGAAGAGAGACAGCCTGCATCAGACAGACCCATGAAGTTTAAAGTCACTCTAACAGCATTTTCGGCTGTGTATGGGTTTTCAGTGGTAGGTTAATATTAAATTTCTTTTCTTTTCAATTTTTTTCTTGCCAAAATTTGATAAATACTCATGATACTGTCTCAATGGTGATGCTTGTGGTGGGGCTGCCTCATAAAAACTCAGAAACGGTCGGCCATTAGCAAACTCACAAACTAGAAGCCCAAAATAAAAGATGAGCTGTTGAGTGATGTGCATGCCATCATTCCTAGATCATCCGCTTGGTGTGAGCACTGTGCAAGATACTATGAAGGATTCACTCAAAATGAATACAAATTTATTTTTATCAAGGAACTTCCAGCCTATCTGGGTAAGATACAAATATATAAATAACTATTTTTGAATTTGAGAAAGGAAGCTCTGGCTTAGTTTTATTAACATTTAGGGTCTGTTGCTTTTGGGGTGAGGAAATTTGTCTATTTCAGATGAGTAATTTCTCCAGCCACTTTCTCTATAGGCCCAGGCAAACGGAGTTCCAGATGATATTAGTATGGTAGTGACTAGAGATGATGGAGACAGAAGCAAGAGTGTTTTCAGACAGTGATTGGCTAATTGCTTTGCCTGAATGACTGATATGTGTCTGGGATATTGACATCGTCTACCCTTCAGGAGAAGCAGCCAGGCTTGGGTTAGCCAATGTTCTCCACTCTTCTCATCGGTTATAAGTAGCTTTATGCATTTATACCAGGATGCCAATGATATGTTCAAATGGGTATAACCTCAAAAAGATTAGAAGGGATTGTCTTGTGTTCATAATTCTATTTAGGAGGAAGATGTAAGAGTTGCATCTCTGCATATCAGAGAAAACATTCAGCCTTTAGTTTTGGGGGTTTGGTTTATTCGCTTAGTATGATATTCTCCAGCTCCATCCATTTAACTGCAAATTCCATAATTTCATTCTTCTTTAAGACTGAGTAATATTCTATTGTGTATATGTACCACATTTTCTTTATCCATTCATCTGTTGAAGGGCATCTAGGTTGGTTCCATAGTTTAGCTATTGTGAATTGAGCTGCTAGAAACATTGATGTGGCCGTGTCACTGTAGTATGCTGATTTTACATTAAAAAAAAAAAACAACCAAGATATGAAAAGATAGTGACTGAGTATTGTTTGAAATTTTGAACAAACTAAAGATTGAAGACAGGAAGTTAAAAAAAATCCAAGTCATTCAAGCAGCATAAATATAAACACACACACACACACACACACACACATATGCATGCACACACACTGCTAAAAATAAAGAGAAAAACAAAATAAAAACTTTGAGGTAGTCAAATACACTAGATACAGAGGATCAAAAATATGAATTTATGATAGACATTTCATGAAGCATGAAGACAAAGGAATCACATCCTTGAAATAGTGAAATAAACAAGAAATTGTCCACTGAGAAATTACACACAAAGAAAAAATCTATCAAGAATGAAGGGGAGAGAAAATAATTTTTCTATGAAATTCATTGTCAGGAAGCCCATTGTGCAAAAATACTAAGAGAATTTTTCAGACAAAAGGAATATATCAGACAGAATTCTTTTATACATAAAATATAAAAAGCTCAGTAAACTCAATAAATGAAGGCACATAAAATGATGTTTCTCTTATGTGAAATTTGCTAGTAGGTAACTCACTGTCTAAACACAAATAGCCCGTGTTTTGGGTTTCCTAATACATGAACAAGTGAGATGCTTTGTGATGATGAACAGAAGGTAAAAGGAAGTAATTGGGACTATATGAAGTCTTTATGCTACACATTAAGAAGTATGATATTATTTGCAGGAAGGCTCTTGTTGATTGGGATGTATTGTAAATCCTAGGGGAAAACCAATGAAAATATCAACAAGGGGTATAAACTAACCAACACAGGAAGTAAAGCTGAATCATAAAAATTGAATTAATTCAGGAAATGGGAGGAAAAGAGTGAGACAAATAGAATGAAGAACAGAGAATCAAGTAGAGAGATGGTATATTTCAGAAAAAATGGTAAATACCTGGAAAGATGGTACATTTAAACCCAAACATATCAAAAATTACATTAAATTTCAATGATCTAAAATTCCAGTTGTATTTCAGACAATGTAAAATTAGGTCCACCAAAAGAACCAAGGATATGTTATTCATCGAAAGAAATCCATTTAAGTACATAGATAGGTTAAAAGTAAATAGTTGATAAAGCTATATGATGGAACTAACCGGAAGAAAGCTAGAGAAACTATATAAATCTCTAGAAAAGTAAGCTAAGAAAATGAAATAAAAAGATAAAAAGGGATGATGATACAGGAGTTAGTGAATTGTAAGATATCATAATAGCACTTACCCATTTTGAAGTGTTGTTCAGAGAGAAAATAGATTTAAGGATAAAATTGAACAGAGCCTCAGGGAAACCCAACATTCACCTCATCAGAGTGCCAGAAAAAGAGATTGAAGCTAATGGTACTCAGAGACAATGATGGCAGGTATGTTAACTACCTGGATTGTGGTAATAATTTCATAATATCTATCAACACATCATGTTTTATACCTTGAATATATACTATTTTCATTTGTCAATTACACCTCAATGCAGCTGAAAAATTTGACTGCAAATCCCCCCAATTTGGCAAAAGATTGAAGCCTACAAATTGGAAAAGATACATAGACTGTAGACAGGAACTATGTACACACATACACACACACACACACACACCCCACACACACACACTCACACTCACACAGTCACATCACAGTCAAACTTCTGAACGCTAAAGACAATAAAATGCTTTAAAGAAGTGAGAGAAATGACATTTTAAATGTAGTAGAAAGACAATTCTACTGAGATCATATTTCATGCCAGAAACCATGAAAACCAGAAGAAAGTAATACAACCTTTTGCAAGAGCTGAGATCTAAAAATGAAACAAGATAAAAGCAACGATCAACTGAAAATTGCCTATCAGTGAAAGTATGTTTCAAGAACGAAGGGCTCAATAAGTGAGTCTAAAACGAAGAAAAACAAAACAACAAAACACCTTAGAGACCGTGATACAGGCAGCGCTGTTCCCAAAGAATGACTTAACTAAGTTCTCTAAAACAAAATGGCAAGAAGAGTAATCTTGGAAGATTAAGAAAGAATGACAGAATTAAAATATTAATAAATACCGTATATTTTTCTACTTTTTCTTTTCTGGGTGTGTTTTGTTTATTGGTTGGTTGGTTGGTTGTTGTCGTTTTCAGTACCAGGAATTGAACCCAGGGCCAATTAACCACTGAGCCACATCCTTGGCCCATTTATTTATTTATTTATTTATTTACTTATTTATTTATTTATTTACTTACTTATTTTTATTTTGAGATAGGGCCTCGCTAAGTTGCTCAGGCTGGCTGTGAACTTGTGATCCTCTCCTGCCTTAGCCTCCTGAGCTGCTGGGATTTCAGGTGTGCACCACTATGTCCAGCTTTCTACTTTTCTTAAATTTTCTAACTTGTTTGACAGTTGGAGCAACACAGATGAGCAAGAAAGAGGAAAGAGTCCTTAAGATAAGGAAATATTGATGAGAATGTGGAAAAACTGGAAGCTCATACATTGTCATGGGCAATGCATAAAGTTATTGACGCAATAGGAAGGTTTGAATATTTCTTTTTTCCCAAAGGCATAGACAGAGGTTTATTTAGGAAAGCAGATGCACATTCAAGAGAGAATGCAGGCCATCTCCAGAGGGAGAGGCAGTGGATGCTGAAATAGGAGACAGCCAGTTGATTCAGCCATTACTATCCTGAGTAACTTTCCAAAAGAAATGAACAAATTTTTCCACAAGTGTTGTAACAACTTTTTTCATAACTCCCCAAATGGGAAACCAACCACATATCTCTGAAGATATTTGATTACCCTGAACAAACCATGACAGTTCTTATATTGAATATTGTTCCTCAGAAAAACAGAATAAAACCTTATGCGTTTAGCAACAAGTGGTAAAGGTCAGATGACTGTTTCTGAACAAAAAAGATCCAAAATGCTGGTTATCATACCATTCTAC